TATTATATATTATATTAAAAAATATAATAACTTTAATAATAAGTCTTAAAGTTATATAATTATTATTATAAACTTTATAATTTTATTAAATAAATAGCTTTAATTTATAAATATAAAAAAGATATTTTTCTTTTTTAAATTTATATATTAGCTTTAAAAGGTATTTAAATATCTTTAAAGTTTATTATAATTTAAATATTTCTTACCTTTTAAATAATAAAGATTTATTTAGTTAATATTATTACCTTAATTATAGTTTTAACTTAAATATATATAATTTCGTTAAAAAGCCTTATTTTTTAATTAACTAAAATCTTTTTTTTATAACCTTACTTTAAAGGCTATTTTAATATTAATCTCTATAATATATTATACTTTAATTATTTAATATACTTTAATAATAAGTTATTTAACTTAACTTTTCTTTATAATAAAATTATTAGTAATATTTTTTTTTCTTTACTATTAGCCTAATAAGGCTATTAAGCTTTTAACTTTCTATTTAAAGGCTTAAATAATAAGGCTCTTATAATAGGCCTATATCTTAAAGGTTAAAATTATATAAGGTTTATTTACCTTAATAATATAATTATTACCTTAATTAAGTAATATTAATACTACCTATAGGTTTATTCCTTAATAGCTATATTAGCCTTCTTTTTATTTTTTATTTAAAAGATCTTAAATTAACCTTTTTAATTAAATTAAGTTTATTATACTTTTAAAGTATATTCTTTAATTTATTAATTATAATTATTATTATTAAATATAATAATTATTATAATACTTATATATAATAGCCTATAGGCTAATTAGGCTTATTATATAATTAATTATAACTTTATTAATATAATTAAATTAATACTAATAAAAGCTATAGACTATAAATACTATAAGCTTTATATAATAATTATAACTATTAAAAAGAACTTTTTATTAAGGAATTAATTTAATTTAATTAAAATAGCTATTTTTAATTATATTTTAATTAATATAATTAATTATATAAATTTAAATATTATAAATTATATAATATTTTTAAATTAATTAATTAAAAAGTTATTATAAATAAAAGATTTAAAAAAAGCTATAAGGTAAAATAAGACCTTAATAATTAATTAGGCTATCTTTTTAATTACCTTTTTAGGCCTAAACTTAATTAACTATAAAAAGTAACTATAAAATATAATTATTAAGGCTAAATATATACTTAACTTTTTTATACTTATATAAGGGTTAAATATATTTATAAATAAAGTTAGATAAATATAAAGTAATAATAGGGTTTAAAGGTTTAAAGGAATTAAATTAACTTTTATATAAATTAATTAATAAAAGCTAAATTATATTTATTAATTAATTATATATATTAAGGTATATAATTAATTAACCTTATATTTAAAAGTAAATAAAGTAATATTAATTAAAAAGTAATAATTTAAATTAAAGAAATTATATTATATAATATATACTTAATTTATACTTATAAAAACTAATTAAATATTAATATATTATTAATATAAATAAAAAATATTATATATTATATTAAATAATATAATAACTTTAATAATAAATTCTAAAGTTATATAGTTATTATTATAAACCTTATAATTTAATTAAATAAATAACTTTAATTTATAAATATAAAAAAGATATTTTTTTAGCCTTAATAAATTAAATATCTTTTTTATTATTACTTTATTAAAGTAATTATTATTAAGGCTTTAACTTTAAAATATTATTTTAAAATAACTTAATAATTATAATTTTATTAAAAAGTATATTATTATATAATTAACTTTAATAATAATTATAATTATTTAATTATAATAATTATTAATTATATAAATAATCTTTTAATTAATATTAATTAACTTTAATATTATAATAATTTTAATATTATATAATTTCCTTTAATATTAAAAAATTATAAATAAAAAGCTTTTATATATTAATAAGTTAATATTAATATAAAAAGTTAATTTTATAATTTTAAATTATTAAATAAAGCTTTTTAAAATATAATTAAATATACTTTAAAATTAATTCTTTATTATATATATTATAAATTAAAAAATAACTTTAAAAGACTTTATTAATTACTTAAAATAAAATTAAAGTTTAGTAATATAATTATAAGCTTTTATTATTAATATTATATTAAATAATAATAATAATTAATATTAATTATAATTTATAAAGTTAAAATATAAATTTATAATAATTAAAATAATAATATAAAAATTATATTATAAAAATTAAAAGCTATTATAAAAAGAAAATTTATAAATAAAGGTTTTAATATTAAAAAAAAAACTATAAATATTAATAAATTAAAGCTAATTTAATAAGTTAATAATAAATTAAATTAAATTATAAAATAATATAATATAAAAAATATAAATTAAAAATAAATATAAATAATTAATATTTAATTAATAGCTTTAGATAAACTTAAAAATAATAATAATAAAATTAAAAAAAAAGCCTTTGAATATTTAAAAATACAGCCTATAATTATTGCTGCATTATACTTGCAATTAAGTTAAAGTAAGTGCATTTATCCTGTAAATCCAGGGTCATGCTCACTAAGCTAGTCCTGCCCCCTGTGTTAAATACCAGCCTGTGCCTTAAGGCCTTCGAAAAGACTCCCCATATCGTTGTATCAGGAAGCCTGTATTTATTAGGGTTGCAAGATCGAATGAAGCTTATCCAATAGCCTTGAATGACGTTGACTGCATTAGCATTGATCCCACCTGGGAAGTATCTTCGGGGTGCCCCGGAGCCCCCATTGCCAGGCCCCCATATTGCATAAGCCTCGTCACAATGAGCTACACCTCTCCCTTGAGCCAGAAAACCTGGATCCTCGACGTTATACCAGTAGTTCCAGGTTTTCTTTGGCATCCAGCGGGAGATTGATTCTGAGAACGAGATGCCTGAGCATTGAAACCTCATGTCTCCGTATGCATCGCTCAGGGGTCGTTTGAGACAGCCAGCTTTCGAACATGTATCTGCCAAACCTGGGTATAAGGCTGTGATCTGAGCCATATGAGTTGACTCAAGAAGCGGAAACTCGGCCTTGAAAAATTCCTCGACTTCTACTTTCGAGGATGCAGCTGGTGCAGATGCTCTTCCCTCGTTGGTTGTGGCACCGATGATAGAAGGGACCATGACGAACTTCCCTTGGTGGAACGAGTTCCAGAGAGCATCTCGTACGAAATCTCCATCAATAACAGGACCCCACATGCCGATTGGTACTCGTGTGCCTCCAGGGTATGGGACCTTGATATTGGCGGCTATGATTTCGGCGATAGTCTTGGTTCGCATGCAAGCAATGGCATCTTTGCAGGAGCAACCGATATTTTCGATGAAACTTTCTGCTTGATACGACGCTTGCTCCACTGTTTTAATAGGTGAAGCAGATATTGATTCAGCTGCAGAAGCGTGAAACAACTTATCATCTCTCCCTCCGTATGCTGCGAGATGGAAGGCCACGCTCGCCCCCCAGAGGAACTCCCCCCAAGAACAACATGTCGCGGGTTGCCTCCAAACCTTGATATATACTTCTGTACCCACTCAAGGGCCTTTCTTTGGTCGAGGAGGCCATTGTTTGGTTGCACCTTATCGCCATATGAGAAAAAGCCTAGAACTGATACACGATAGTTCAGAGTGACGACGACAATTTTCATATCCGAAGCTCTGATCAGATCAGTTCCGTTTATCTTGGGTCTAGAGTTATCGTTGAAGCCTCCGCCTTGGATGTAGACGAAGACGGGGAGCTTGGCGTGCCTGGAAGCGTTTGACGGCGCAAACACATTGAGGAACAGGCAATCTTCAGACTGTGACTTTCCAATGAATCGAGCTTTTGCGCTCTGGGAAACGCATTTGAGCCTGAACTGAGCTTGTTTTAGTGTCTAGTAGGTTCAAATCTCAGTATAATGGAATTACTCACCTTGTTTGCGTTCTTTGTCTGACGACTCCTGACTGGGTCTTGGGGAGGCATGAATCTGAGATCACCCAGAGGAGGTGCAGCGTAACGCATTCCGAGCCAGTAAGTAACACCGTTTCCAAGGTCATTGCCCCTGTATTTGCTGTATAATACATCGACTACGGGTGCCACGGCATTGACAAGAGTAAAGAATAGCACCATTGCCATCAATGGCACACAAGTTGGACGAAGGCGCATATTGGACGAGGTGTGAACTCACTGCCGTCAGTATAGGGAGCCGCATTGCCAGGCCCGGGGAGTTTAACTTATACACCAACATAGTTCACCTCTCTCCTAGTTTTCGGATGCTGGTCAAGCTGTCAGTCTTGTTGGAAACGGTCCAGAACCATTGCCAAGAGTCAGAGCGTGCTGTTGGCTCAGTGAACCACCAACGCCAGTTGGTGGTTATAACCAAAATATAGGGGCGACCCTTTTGCAAATCATCGATAGAGGTCTGAACCACGTTGTAGATCTTTCTTGGCATGGGCAGATGTCAGAGCCACGATCAGGTTGGTGTGGCATTTGATAGGCGATGGGCCAACAGCCACGAATGTGGTCTACAACGGTCTCTATTGTGAAGTGTCAATGCAAAAGCCAAGTCATATTCGTATGCTTCTAGATCAGGGTCCAAGCCTTGGCCATATGTTGTTCAATATGGAAGAGAGGCTCCAGTTCCGCAACTGGAATAAGCTCAGCTGGCTCTTGTAAGCCACAAGATGAAATTTACAGACTGATTCTTCTTTGTTTAGAAAGATTCCAGAAATTGTGACCATCGACATGTAACCGATTTCAGGCATCAGGACATGTGGAACTTGAATTTTCGTAAGTGCTAGTGGTATGACCATGAACAGTGACGAGCAAGTCCTTATCATGTTTGTTTTTCATCCTTCTTCTCTAGATACAACCCTGAGACCACCCATAACCCTTTGGAGAGCATTGTTAAATTATCGAGAGCCTCTGAAATTCGTTATTCCGTGCTAAGTTAGTGTCTCGTTGTTGGTTGTTATCAAAACTCAGCGTGTGTTGATATTATTCCCATCTTGGCTAATAGATTCAGCCACCAACAGACAGACAGATAGACAGACAGTATAGGACAAAAGGGATCGCAGAATGGTATTCGGAACAGTCTAGCCTCAACTGCATACAAAGCGGATCATGAAAGACACTCACAACTGTGGCTGATTATATTCACCGTTGGTCGCGTGGTTCGGAATGCCCGACGCCTTTCCCCAATCAACTTCGATGAGCAGAGTCAAGGATCTGAATCGAGTCAACTTTGGCGTCAGGCAAGCTGTTCCTGTCTGTGTTCCAATTGTTATAGTCGGCCAATTTCAAACAGCCATGGGCTAGTCACGGTGGCATGAGAATGATTATCCCAACCACTAACATGAAGTACAAGGTTGTTCTTGATAAGATGATTGAATGAGTATCCTTACCAAGCGTAGGTACCTACCCTGATGCTCCCCACTCTTTTATTGTTATCGTTGGCTTGGCCCCGCCTTTCTCCAGCCAGCGTAGCTTCCAATGTTCGAACTCCTCTAGTCTTATCTTATCTGTCGCAAAAAAAATTAAAAATAACAATCGCTTTGGCTTCCCTGCTATTCAACCCGCTAAACTTCTGTAAAATTCCTCTTGATCAACTGGATGGATCCAATGGCACCAACATTGGCATCACGCAAGCGAAAGGTTCTCGCAGAACCTGCTCCTGTTGACGACGAGCTCACCGGCGTGGAATTGGACGGCGTTTTGTCACAGAGTGAAGATGGATCTGACTTTGAGGAAAGCGATCTTGAGGATGGACTCGACGGCCAGGACACGAATGAGCACGACGATGATGAAGATGACGGGGACGAGGACGAGGACGATGATGCGTACAGCGAAGACGCCTCATCCGACGTAGACGACAGCTTCGCGGCCCCTCCACCACTCGACACTGATGATTCGGAACCAAACTATCGCGTCGTCAAGGATGCCAATGGCGGGGAGCGCTATGAGTACGCTGAGGTTGATCCTGTCTATGATAGCGACGATTCAGATGCCCAAGGTCCAACCAACACCATTGGCAACATTCCCCTCTCCTTCTACGACTCATATCCTCACATCGGATACGACATCAACGGCAAGAAGATTATGCGCCCAGCCACCGGGGAGGCTCTAGATGCTCTCCTCGACAGTATTGAGATTCCTAAGGGCTGGACTGGCTTGACAGATCCTGAAACTGGAAAGCCTTTGGATTTGACCCAGGACCAGCTTGAACTTCTCAAACGACTACAAATGAATGAGGTTCCCAACGAAGATTACGATCCTTACCCCGTATGTCATTCACTTCTGTGCCACTGCTCGACACCGCTAACTATCCCAGGATATGGTGCCATACTTCACCAGCATTGAGGAGAAGATGCCTCTGAGTGCTGCGCCAGAACCGAAGCGGCGATTCGTTCCCTCTAAGCATGAAGCCAAGCGTGTTGCCAAGCTTGTCCGAGCCATCAAAGAAGGACGTATCCTACCATACAAGCCTCCCGAGGAGCGACAACGAGAAGAAGAGGAGAAGGAAGAGTCTTACTACGATGTATGGGCAAACGAGGAGCCTCAAGACCCCCATGTGATGAACATCCCGGCTCCCAAGCTTGCTCCTCCTGGATACGACCTTAGCTACAACCCACCACCCGAGTACTTGCCGACCGAAGAGGAAAAGGAAGCCTGGAAGAACCAAGATCCCGAGGAGAGAGGAAAGGAGTACTTGCCTGCTAAATTTGACTCGCTGCGTAAGGTTCCTGGTTATGGCGAGTTCGTCAAGGAACGATTCGATCGCTGTCTGGATCTTTACCTCGCCCCACGAATCAGGAAGAACAGGCTCAATATCGATCCCAACTCTCTTCTGCCTAAACTTCCCCGACCAGAAGACCTCAAGCCGTTCCCCACCCTCAACCAGACCATCTTTCGTGGCCACGACGGTCGAGTCCGTTCGGTATCGTTTAGTCCAGATGGTGAGTTTGTGGCTTCAGGGGGTGATGATGGCACAGTCCGTGTTTGGGCTCTCAACGGCCACCAAGAATGGATGGCAAAACTTAGCAGCGATGAGCCTGTCAATATTGTGCGATGGCGACCCAGTAAGGAGACCTTTATCCTGGCAGCTGCAGCTGGAGAGGATCTCTTTTTCATGATCCCCTCGGTAGCTAGCGACGCTGTTGAGAAGGCCAGTCGCGATGTTCTCGACGCTGGCTTCGGCTACGCTACGAATGGTGCACAGCCCAGTACAGTCAACGGTGTGAAGAAAGAACCTCCTGCCAAGTGGTCACGCCCTGGGGCCAAGCTGGAAGCTGTCGGTGTGCTCCTCGTGGCTACTGTTAGGTCAACGATCAAGGTTATCAGCTGGCACAGGCGAGGTGAGTTCATCTCCACTGTGTCACCAACCGGACAAAGGAGCTCAGTCGCCATCCATACACTCTCCAAGCATCTCAGTCAAATCCCTTTCCGAAAGCTGCCTGGTCTTGCCCAGACGGCTCAGTTCCATCCTTCAAGGCCACTGTTCTTTGTTGCTACTCAGCGAATGATCAGGTGCTACGATCTCCAGCGTCAGGAACTTGTCAAGGTTGTTCAACCTGGTGCGCGATGGATCTCTTCATTTGATATTCACCCTGGTGGAGATAATCTTATTGTTGGCTCATACGATCGAAGACTGCTGTGGCATGATCTTGATCTGTCGTCTCGCCCTTACAAGACGATGCGATTCCACCCTGAAGCAATCCGCGCTGTCAAATTTCACCGCAGCCTGCCTCTCTTCGCTGATGCCAGTGATGATGGAACATTACAGATCTTCCACGGCAAGGTTGTGAGCGATCTTATGGAGAACGCCACTATTGTCCCAGTCAAGATGCTCAAGGGCCACAAAGTAATCAACAAGCTGGGTGTCCTTGACGTGGACTGGCACCCTAAGCACCCTTGGTGTCTCAGCGCTGGTGCAGATGGAACCTGCAGACTCTGGGCATGATGCCGGTTTGGGAAATGGCTCTACCCATACCGTGAAGGGGGGGAGAGTGGTTAATTTTGGTCGCCGTGGACTTTCTTCCAGCGATGGCGTTAGGAAACAGAAAACAGAATCACATCATATTTTCATTTATACTTTCACATCAATATGTTCTGCAGCGTGATCCTGTTTCTAGATTTCCCGTCAAACATAAAAAATCCTCCGATCCACCTTATAGTGTGTATCAGAGGTGCATTGTTGATAAGGTAATGAGTGGCAGCAAGCGTTAGCTACAGACGCCCATGCAATATTGATGAAGATTTACTGGACGCGTTAGATAGAGGATTCAAATATTGGCATTCACATTGACGGACGTTCTTTTTATGAGATTAACAAAATAGGATTCGTAAAACATAACTAGCTGCTAAAGCAAACGATCAAGTACCATAATCTGCATCATCGTTATGACTGAACTATAGCCAGTTTTGACCTTGTCTCCTCGCCCTTTCATCAATGGCAACCTGCCACACTGATATCACATGGGCCAAGACCACAAGGATCTTCAACTATCTGAGCACCGAGGTCAAATGTTTCCAGTATCCTCCACTCATTACAGCTCCTCGCGGATCTTTGCCTTGGCATCAGCCTCAGCCTCCGCAGCCTTCTGCTTCGCAGCCTGGCCACCAAGCTGAAGCTGGTTGGCAACCCAGTTGTAGGTGTCGCGGGCGGTTTCTCCGAGCTTAGCGAAGAAAGTTCCAGTCGGGGAGCTGGTGCCGTACTTGAAGTAGGTGGATTGCTTTCGTGCTTCAGCCTTCAGATCCTCAAGCTTAGATCCTTGAGGCACAGGCACACCATAGCTATCGAGGTAGGCCTTGAGGTCAGTCTCGGTCCACTCATCGAAGGCAGACTGCTTCGCAGAGTTTGTGGCAGAAGTGAGGTAGCTAGTGGCTGAAGCCCAGGTAGATCCTCCAGCCGAAGAGGCGGAAGAGTAGGCGGACTGAGCAGCATCATAGAGCTCATCACGAGTAGCATCCTTCTTCTCAACTACCTGCTTAGCAGCAGCATCCCCGTTGCGCTGAAGGTACTTCTTCAAGTTATCATAGCTAAAATCATCAAAAGTCCAGGCGTTTCCACCGTGGTAGGCGACATGAGCATTCTTGCGGACGAGGGCCTCGAGCTCATTCTTCTTGGAGCCCTGGGGAACGGGGACACCACGGGCGTCGAGGTAAGACTTGAGGCGGCTATCGGACCAAGTTCCAACGGCCTGGTTGAAAGCGTCCTGAGCAGCCAGAGAAGCGCTATCGGTAGCTTTGGCGTACTGGTTCTGGGCGTTAGAGGTAGCAGCACCGTAGGCGGATGCGGCGCTGGCAGAAATGTTATCACCGAGGATATCGGCTCGATGCTTGCGGACGAGGGCGCGAAGTTCGTTGGCCTTGGTGCCCTGGGGAACGGCAATACCGTTCTTGTCACAGAATTCCTTGAGCTGTGACTCGCTCCAAGCATCAATGATCATGTCAGTGAGAGTGGCATATGCTCCCTGAGCGCTGGCGGTGGCACTAGCGGCCTGGTCCTGAGCCTTGAGGTAGGCAAGACGAGAGTTGCGTCGAACGGAAGCAATAAGCTTATCGCGTGTCATGGGCTGAGGGGCGGGGAATCCATGGGTGTCAAGCCACTCCTTGAGATCAGACTCTGACCATGTTTCGTAGAGCCAGTTACCAGGATACGAAGAGGCCTGGTTGGCCTTCTTGGCAACGGTCTCGTAACTAGAACGAGCCTTCTGGAGAAGGGTGTCACGGTGGCGGGGTTGAGGGACTTCGATGAGTGATTAGTTCTCTGGCAAATCAAACCGAGAACGGCCAGAAGACTGAATGAACTTACCGGGAATTCCATGTTTGTCGGCAAATGCCTTCAGCTGGCTCTCAGTCCAAGTGTCGAGGATCCAATCCTTGACGTTGAGCCAGGCAGATTGGGCGTTGTCCTCAGTCTCATACCAGCTGGCCTTGACCTGGGACAAAAGGCTATCCTTTGAGGCAGCGGCCTCGTTCTTGGCTTCCTTGCCCTTTGATTGCAAGTACGAGCTGAGTTGGTTAGTGTCCCAGCTGTTGTAAGGAGTAACAACGTAATTCTCCCAGTTCTTCTCAATCAAGGACTCGAGATCCTTGCGGTCGGCGGGTGTTGGGTAGGGGACATCGTGGTCTGAGAGCCAGCGCTCTAGCTCAGTCTCGTGCCATTTGTTGTATACTGGTTTTTGTTAGACTATGCGGCAGACCAGGAGAAAGGGCAGTAGCATAGCAAGCTTACCAGGCTTCGAGCCAGGGAACCATGTGCTGGCGGTGACACCGTTGATGGCCACCGCGGCCAAGACGGCGTTCAAAAATCTCATTTTGGCTACTGCTGTTGCTGCTTCGGCTTCAGAGAGATGGAAATGTTTCCTGATACAAATCTAGTTCCTTGTCTAGACAATGCCAAGTCGCGAAGAAATGACAGGAGCTAGGTAGGTCGCAGAAGAGTGTGACAATAGGAATCACCTCGGGAGTATAAAGGGGGCAGTGAATTGGAAGAGGAATGATGAGAAATGGAAGAGTGATGCAACTGAAGCGAGATGAGTGAGGGCGGGAAAAGAAAAGAAAAGACGATGCTGACCTAGGTAGGCGGGAGAACAAGCAAGCCACTGGAAGGGGAAATCTATCACGTCACTGTGCCGTTGTCATGGGTGGCTGGAATTTGGCAGTTTACACTGAGTAACAGAGAGGTACAGAATACTTGCGCATCAGCTAAGCAAACCCTGAATTATGAGAGGCAGGTGCACCAAAACAATTCCACAAGAGTGTGTATTACAATACTTCGTCACTCGTCAACAAAGGGGCAGCAGCGTCACCATCAGCATCATCATTGCCTATCGTTCATCATCGCGATGTGATTTTGCACAAACAAGCCTTGGATGAGTGCCCTCCCCAGGCGCCACCATGACGTACTTTGTATGGTCCGCCCCGCACAAGCTCCAGGCTCGAACAGGTAAGACGCCAGGTGACTAAGCCCAGCCGATGCATATCGGTACATTCCGCTGCCAGAAACTGCCCTAGCTGGGCTGAAAAATGTCCTCTCCGTGAAGCACATGCTTGCTACTCGTCCATGTTTAATCGAACCGCACTTCAAGAGGTCGATCTCGATTCTCAAATGGAACAAATGCTCCGGCGGGGTTACCTTCCTGGCCAGATCCTCTTCATACCAAATAATGTTACCGTAGTCTATCTAGGTCACACAGATCAATAAATGAATGCTTAAGAAGGGCATATTTATTTCCACATGCACCAGCAGGTCTTCAGGTAATTCTCAAATTGTTGGTGACATAATCATCTTTGCTTGCAGGCTACGGTTTGGCTGCGTGTTGTACCTATAGTAGACACAACTAGTTATCTTGCCTTGGATTCTTTGAATGACTGGGTCTAGACTGTTGAAACCTTGTCACTGCTATTGATCATATACAATCAAAATTCTAGGTATATCATACAGACATTGATATTTACGATTCCAAGGCATCAATAGACTCATGAGTCTTGTCAATTCACCATTCAAAAGTCAAGGCCTCATGAGAGACGGCGATATGTCGAGATAGTGTTACATTGATCTATGTTCGCCATTGCCGCGTCTAATCCCCAATGTCCCCGCTCGTTTGACCTGTAACCCAGTCCGCAATATCTAACATCGTCACAATTAAGCGTAGAAGTTGACGGTCTGTTCAGCATAGTTAGCAACCAAATCCCATGACAAGACTCTAAGCTTCCGTCACTTACATCCTTCTTCTTGGCCTGCACCTCAGCAATAGCATCAACATAATGCTCGTGGCCAATCTTGTTCTTGCCTGATCGCAAAGCAATCATACCAGCCTCCACACAAACAGCCTTCAACATAGCACCTCCAAACTCATCCGTGCTTCGGGCCAACTCGCCCCAATTGACACCGGGGTCAACCTTCATCTTGCGGGAATGGATCTTTAAGATCTGGGCGCGGGCCTCCTCATTTGGCAGTGGGAATTCAATCTTGCGATCGAGTCGGCCAGATCGGAGAAGCGCAGGATCAAGAACATCGACTCGGTTTGTTGCAGCCAACACCTTGATTCGGTCGTCAGAGGCGAAACCGTCAAGCTGGTTCAGTAGCTCCAACATGGTTCGCTGTACTTCGCGGTCGCCGCTCTTCTCGCTGTCGAAGCGTTTGGTACCAACTGCATCCAACTCGTCGATGAATATAATCGCAGGGGCCTTTTCTTTAGCCAGTGCAAAGCAGTCCCGTACGAGCTTGGCGCCATCGCCAATGAACATCTGGACCAGTTGAGGACCTGCCAGCTTCAAGAACGTAGCGTCTGTCTGTGCTGCACAGGCTCGTGCTAGTAAAGTCTTGCCTGTCCCGGGGGGGCCATACATCAGTGCACCTAAGCAGAGTTAGTATATACGATAGGTTTTCAAGACTTCTCCACCATGTTACCTTTTGGGGCCTTGATGCCAATCTTCTTGAAACGCTCAGCCTCCTTCATGGGCCACACGATTGCTTCCACCAACTCTTCAATCTGCTTATCCAGTCCACCAACATCAGTGTACTGTTCTGTGGGCTTCTCATCCACCTCCATAGCCTTGACGCGGCTGTCGTACTCGGCCGGGAGCGTATCGAGAATGAGGTACGAATCCTTGTTGACACCAATAAGGTCGCCAGGCTTTAAGTTATCCGCATCGACCAGGCCAATCAAAGGGAGAAAGATAGTTTGTCGTGTGGACGTCTTGATGACGGCTGATTTTCCAACTCGAGTGGCATCCAGGTCAATGTTGGCGCCCTCTTCTGATGATTCGGCCGTAGGGTCCAGGTCAAGCAGCTCAACGACGTTGCCGACGAGGTACGGGAGTTGTCTATGAACCGGGTTAGCATTGACGTCTGCATTTCCTTGGCTTACCAGAGACAAACCTGTTGTTGGCAATCTTATCCTGGTTCTCTTTGATCTTCTCGCCCATGGCGGCCTTCTCGTGTGATAACCGCGAGAACTCGCTCTTCATGATGCGAGAATCGTTCTCTAGCAAGCGTTTGCGGGTTTGAATGTCTTGTGTGCTCAGCCCCAGGATCTCATCGTCAAGAATGTCGTCCTCCTCCTCTTCTGCATCTTGCATGTCAGCGTCGCCATCAGTGGGCTTCTTCTCTTTCTTGTCGTCGCCATCTCTCTTCTTCTCCTCCTTGTCTCGGCGGTCGAGATCATCGAGCTCCTCGAGAGTCGACATGGTGGGAAATGATGTGAATTAAATCTGACTTGAATGGGTTGATGTAGCTACAAGCTCGTGTTAGGGTTGATAGAGGTGAGCACAAAGTTGTTGTGGTTGATGCGCGGCCGAGAACTAAATGCAAAGCCAAATGCTATGGATGCTCTAAAGACAGACACCAAAGATCAAGCTGTCAGGTAGGCAGTCAGGTCGCGCGTAATCAGCCTGGCCTGCCAGCAACAGAACGGCATTGGCTCCAGTGGCCTTGCGGTGCCGGGGATCGGCAGTGCGTTGATCCGGTGCACGGGCCCAGCACGGATCGAAACTCTCTCGCAACTGACATCCAATTAGTGACTGCGAGTGCTTGTGGAATTTTTGATCTGGCTACGGAGCCAGGGATACAATTTCATGTATGTACAACATTAACTCTCGAATCTTTGGTTCTCTGTTCTGACATCCCGCATAGCTAGAAAACATGGCTTCACGAATATCACGGGCTGCGTCGCCCTGTCTGCGTCAATTGCGCAGAGAATCACACCTCTCTCACAGGCCATGGACAACCACTCTTCGCAGTATTTCGACATCGCCAAACCATTCGGCTGCGGTAACGGAGGTCCGAAAACCAATTGACCATGCTCCCATCACCAAACCTCCCAGCGCCCGGCCCGTTGAGACGAGAAAGAGCCAGTTGATCCGAACCTACACATCACTCCTCCGGACGACCCCCTTGATCTTATTCTTTCAACATAGCAATTTGACGGCCGTAGAGTGGGCTGCAGTGCGGCGAGAGCTGAAGAAGGCTCTTTCCACTGTTCCCAAACCCCATGCGATTCCGGGTGCTGAACCTGTCGATATCACCCCGTTAGTCCAATTACAGGTGGTGCGAACCAACATGCTGCGCGTGGCACTCAAGCTTGTTGAGTTCTACGACCCCGAAGCTGCTGCTGCGTCGGAGAAGACAACAAGGACGGTGCGAGGCCCTGTTGTGCATGATCTTTCCGAAGCTGCCTATGAAACCATTAAGAGTGCCCAAGTACCCGAGGACTCCAGCTACGCCCAGATCGAGCCAGTAATGGTTGGCCCTCTCGCTGCATTAGTTCTCCCTGCCGTCTCTCCAGCCCACCTTGCGGCCGCATTGAGTGTTCTGGCACCTGTCCCGGGTAAATTCCCGGCTCCTTCGAGAAAGAAGAACCCCGGTTTCCACGATCCCATTTGCCAAAGTGGTCTTGCTAAGTTACTACTCGTTGGTGGCCGCGTTGAAGGCAAGATCTTTGACCAATCTGGTATCAACTGGGTTGGCAGTATTGAGGGCGGCCTGGAGGGCTTGAGGGGCCAGTTGGTGGCCATGCTCCAAGGCGTCGGATTGGGCATCACCAGTACCCTGGAAGGCGGGAGCAGAAGCTTATGGTTGGCTCTGGAGGGCAGAAAGGGCCAGCTTGAAGACGAGATCAAGGGCGACGAAAAGGATGGCGCATGAACTTGGAGCTCGGCAGGGTTTGAGATACGATGTACAAATAAGACGCCTTATAAAGGCCATGTAGATGTAGATGTACGAACAGCATATTGGATCGCTGCAATGTTAAAGCTGGCTAGATCAAGAGTTCTTCCAGCAAAGCCATATTCTATCGTACCTTGTCCATTAGTTAGAGAAGTAAATGCTTGTACTCCGTTCCGTTTGAGAAAAGGCAGAATTGTTCCAGCTGATACTCGACCTTGTGTGATAGTAATAACTGTGGCTGTATCCGTAGTATGTGGCTCAAAGCTACTGTTTTAGCTATGAAGTTGTGTAGACCTTGCAGCCAATTGCGCGACCTGTCGGAGCTGGGTGAGCCAGGCATCCACACAGAGTATAACAGAAATCAAGATACGATATCACAATCCAATATACCTAGTTAGCCGGTGCGATATATCTCTGAGCACGTCGCGTCCCTAAGTGTGCGAATTTAATTACTACTTGTATGATACTCGATACTAAAATAGTATATACGCAAGCTGATTGTTTACAAGCTTCCATAGTCGATCTGTGTCCGGTACGCGAGAGGGTCCAGTCAGTCCGACCCTGGTAGATGATTAGACACTGTTCCGGGCTAGATGAGCCTGTAATGTCACGAGCTGTAACATTCTGTGAATACCTTAGCTCGCACTTGATAGCATAGGCCCATACAAGTAGACCTGCTTCTTGTGGGAACTGCTCCAATCCCAAAGAAAATTCGGGTGACCTGTCTTCTATCTACAGCTCACAAGAAGGAAGTTGACTAAGGTAACTGGAAGGTCTTCCCAAATCAGCCGCTTCTTAAGACTACCTCACTTGCCCCCTCAGGTAGGTACTACCTAGGTATGTAGGTGTGAGGTAGCGTGCTGGCTTCGAAAGCAGTTTGCAATGACGTCCTAGTAAGAGTTTCCACGCAGTGCCTTGTGTCTGTCCTTCCCGGGCATATTCAAGAATTACATATGGTCCGATAAGCCATGGTTTTGTTTAGAAGAACCTTGGATATCACATTGAACGTATAAAGGCCCAACAGAAGATATCGTTTTACTTGAAGCTTACATATCAACCCTGATTTCCATTTTTGTGACGAGCGAATTCGATGATCTCCTGAACTGGCTAGTTAAGTACGGAAACTGCCTTCCTTATCCTGTGTCTCAATCGGAAAGAAAGATGGGCATTACCAGCTCTACCAGCAATGTAATAATGCTGGAGGTCTGTTCAGGGTCACTCGACTTATGGGATACCATATCGTTCAGGGGTAACTAGTAATGGTCTTACTGCTGAAATGAATGAGTCCCAAGGATGTTGTATGTCGTTGACTCCTAGAAAGGCTGATGGCATTCCCATTATCACGGGAGTATTCGTTTGTGGGAAGCAGTTGCCTATAGCCACTGTCGTCGTTTGTCCTTCTTCGGTTCAGTCATGTTAAGGTAGCGACTGCACTCCTCACGGTATAGACGACGCCCACAGGGGAGCGACGAGGAAACAGAACAACAACTACATAATTCTCACATATCCCAATCTTTCTTTTCTTTTCTTTTCATCCTCCATCTTCATCCTCTATCCTCATCCTCTATCTTTATCCTCTATCCTCATCCTCCATCTTCATCCTCCATCTTCAGCAACTAGCCTTACTGACTATCGATCAGCCATTCTTTCTATTCATTTCCATGTAGCTCATATCGTACTCCATCGTCCGCGAGTTTTGGCCCATCATTATCATCTCGCTTCTCATCACGCCGTCGAACTGACGTTCCAAGACATTCTCCACGCACATCACCATCAGTATATGGCTCTGCCATTCACTTGGGCGTCTCTAAGCTACCAGACATCTGACTTATACAAAAGGTGGGTAAGACCTAATGGGGAAAACCAAAGTCTGAGGGTTCAGAGCCCAAAGATGCTCGTGTACAAACCTTACGGCATCAACGGCTTCGGCTGACAACCCTACACATCTTATAGGAAAATCGACAAGAACACTCTTCTGTTGGCACTGCAAGATTAGCGCATCTTTCACCCCAGCAAAATCATCGATACAGGTCTCTTCAGATCATCTGGGCCAAGCTAGGGAGTGGCAAGAGACATGCGGCATGCGACGAAGCAGACTGGAGAAGACTGGAGAAGACAGCGCGGAGGGTGACGGTTATGGGGTTCCTTACATTGGAGTTTAGCGACAAATAAGCATTTTATGCCACAGATTTTCAAGCAATAGAGCCTTTCGTTGTGCAATTGTGCCTTCTGCCCCTTTTGAACTGACGAGCTGTATAAGTTGACTGAGAAAATGATTTGTTCTTATCGTGCACAGATAATCTTCCAAGAAAAACAGACTGCGCCACATATTAAGTCGTAAAAGAAAATATTGACTATGAAGCTTGTGCCAGACCACCTAGTTCTTGTTTGAGCATACCCAGGTAGTGTAGGTAAGGCAAGGTAGTATAAGAATACCTGGTAGAACCGTGCATGCAATTGTGGGGCCTCCCGAACTTCTTCTTACAAGTATGTATATCCACCCGAGTCCAGGTAGGATCTGGAACCGCCCAATTCAACCCATGCTTCCGCAAAATAGATCACTAGCGTTTATGAGCGTGATTTGCCTGTGATGGAGAAGCTTATATTCTAACTACCAGTAAGTAAGATGCGCAATCGTGACAAGAAATCAGCAGAAACAGGAAAAATCTCAAATAAAGAAAGTTGATGTGCCTCAGTTCCCAGTGTGACAGATAGCCTTATGGACCTCTTATTTGGGTAGTTCTATCCTGCGGGTGGATAGCTTCATTACCATGGGTTCATCATAGGCGCGACTAGTTTGTGTACAAAGGGTAGAAATGACCAGACTGCCCGCCTGGTCTGGCCACAGGAACAAGGAGCCAGAAGTTGCACTTGAAGATGCAAAGCAAGTAAACAGATAGTTTATTATACCTCAGTTCCCAATATGACAGGTAGTTCAAAGAACTCGCTCAAGTGACTCTACCCTGCGGGCCAGACAGCTTGATCATTATGGGCTCATCATTGGTGCGATGTATGTATGTGCAAAGCGCACATGAAGGGACGGGAGGTAGGTGTGTGATGATGAAAGAGAGGGGTGTGGCCTCAGGCATCCTCAGGCACCTTCACCTCCACAAAAGGTAAGGTAGAGGTGCCTTAGTACCTTAGTACCTACTAGGTACTATAGGTAAGGAGGTAGGTAGCTGCCATTGTGTTGTAATGGAAGTGAAGAAGAGAGGAGGAGTGGGAGTGGGAGGAGAGGATTTATATACTGAGACGAAACTTTGCTTGCTTGAAAAGTTGCTTTACTGGTAAAACTTAACACGGAGCACAGTAACCATTGGCTCATGGGTACTCTAGGTACCTACAGGTAGGTACTATAGGTAGCTAGGTTACCAAGAACAACCACGACCTAGATGATCACCGCCCCGCCTCTCAATCAACTCAATTGTCGCAAACCACTTTACAACATCACGTCAAGATCACGGCTTTCCTCTAAAGTATTTGTGAGATAAAGGGAAAACAAAGCGACGGGTAGTCCCTGGAGCTCGATTACGGCCTCTTTACTGTTCTCTCGTCATTCGATTCACCTACCGGCGCCTTCTACATCGACTCGGCAACACAATCCAACACACACAATATGGACTTTGCTCCCTATCAATCATCTCCTCCGGAGCATTCACGGGTGACCTCTCCCGACTACGCCTCTCCTCGACCATCCTACGATGCCAGACGATCGTTTTCACCCGTCGCATCTCCTCCACCGCTTCAGCACCCACAGCCACAAAGAGGATGGAGCGGTTTCGATGGCCAGTCAGCTGGCTGGGCAGCCATCAGCCCTGATAACCGCGCTTTCGTTGGATCAAGCACAATGCCTGGTACCTATCCTGCTGCCGAAGTCAGCGAGTTCGACACAAGCTTAGGAATGCGCCTGGATTACGAAGCTTGTTTAGCATATGTTGCATTTCCACCACTGGGTGCGATTATACTACTGATCTTGGAACGGAATAGTGACTATGTGAGGTACGATTGTATCTTTATGGCCGCGCTCAAACTTTCATCAATATCTGTTCGTTTTTCTGACACTCGTATTAGGTTTCATGCTTGGCAATCTGCATTGCTATTCACAGCCATTATGGTCTTCCATCTTATGTTTTCATGGTCCACGTTCCTGAGCTGGCTCTTTTTTCTTTGCGACATTGCCTTAATTTCCATTCTCACTTTACGGGCTTACAAAGACGCAGAGATCCTCGACAGGTACGCGGAATCCCCCGGTTCATTCTGATCTTATTATTGATAGACCGCTTAGATTCGAGGTGCCATTCTTCGGTGCCCTGGCTAGCCGATTCCTTGATGATGAGTAACGCATAATCGAGATACATGTGCTGCTTGTATTGTACTGTTTTTTCTTGAGTTTTGTCCACTTAGTCGTATTCACAATACCCCTTCCCAGCTCAGGACTGGTGATCGAATTACCTTACGTTAGAAGTCAGCCCTCTATCTTATTAAAGTAATAGATATGCTCACACCCCTTCTAGCATAACTGAATTCTTCTAGACAATCGAGTGCCCTGAGCCTTGACTAGCCTTGGCTCGTCCGTGTTGAAATTCAGCTGATACATCTAGTTCTTGGAGACCACCTTTGCCAACACTTAAAAATGGCTTAACGTATTTGAGCTTACTTTCAGTCATGGGGAGACAAGAATGAAGTATCTTATTTGGGTCTCGCAAAACATATCTGGAATCCGCGAGGATGGACTCCGCAGGGTCCGTATTCTCAAATTATGCTAGGACTCCGTGAACATCTATCACTCCTCTAAAACTTGCTAAGCACAGGTGCCACTGTACCCTTTAGTGTAGGTCTCTCCTCGAACACAACCTCTCCAATCTTGGTTTCTGGGGAACTACCCACTTCCAGCCACCTTGCCAGGAGGTCGTTACTTTCTTTGGGCTTTACAGAATCATCTCGAGTTCCAACAGTTATGTGAGCAACGCGGTTTGCGCACTGCCATTGGTCATTTTGGTCTGCTAGGCGAACCACGATAGCAATGATTCTGTCATCAAACACAGCCTATTTACGGTCAGTTGCTGTAGAGCTCGTGAGTTTTGGGCCAACTTACTCGTTCGAGCATGACGTCACATTCCCCAACTTTCCCTTCAGGGTCTCCAACAGCCTCTGCTTCTTTCTGCAGCGCAGCGTATCTCTGCCAGAGCTCAGGGTGCTTCTGACTTCCGGCCTTGTGCAGCAAAGTCACATGGAATTTTGGCTGTATGCGTCGGGTTTGTTTGAGTTGTGTATAAAGCCGCGAAGTTGCAGGTTCGGTGTCTTTGAAGGCTTGCTCGAGAGCATTGTTGACCTGTTGGGCCGAAATCCCTACAGACATGTATTCCATCTTTCTTGGCTTCTGAACTTTAGGTTTTTGCTGCTGAGGGTAGCTTTTCTTGCCCCTGTCAGGTATATCGTGCCTGAAATCTGGCTTGTAACCGAGGGCGTAATCCATGGCTGCGTCATATGATGCAGCAGAGGGAATCTCCTTGACTAGATTTGGAAACAACTTGTGGAGTTGTGTGACAAGAGTTTCGAGGTTCTGTCGGCTGCTGGCTGTAGGATCAAGATCAATCACAGCATCGAAGCCATCGTCAGGTCGAGAGTGCGGATTGCAGGCTTCATATCGGTTTATGAAACCCTCCATTACACCAATGAATTTCTCCTTGTCGCTTGCCGCATGGATAGTCTGGTGGTTATCACCCCGGGCGATAATTCTTTCCTGAGTGATTCGCCGGATCTCATCGATTGAGTCTTCATCGTGCTTGAAGTTCATGCAAACAAGCTTGGCAGAAGAATGCTGGAGCTTCACATCCGTGATGATCTGCTTCCGTTCGTGTCTCTGTGCGTTATTTCGGTCTGCAATCACGGCAGGATGGTCTTTGAGTTCGTCCAACACCATCTTTGTGAAGCGCGGAGGCCTGCCCTTGCCAGAGATATTGTCGTTTTGAACATGACCCCAACCGAAAAGGTGCGAGAGTCCCATAGCAAGGGTTGTCTTACCACAGCCAATGGTGGCAATAGGACACAGAATAACGTCACGAGTGACCTCTGTCATTACGAGAGGTTCCAGCTCTCCCATATTAGCTGCATCTGCACCGTTGATGTTCTTGAATTTCAAAAAGTCATCGCGGAGAGCGATGATCCCGTGGTTATTGTTGTACTCCTTTCCCAGCTTCGGGTCTGCAGCAAGTCGTCGTCGGGCGTAAAGCAGATACTCCTCGGTGATTTTGGTGTGTTTCTTGAACTTTGGCTGTTTTCCAGCAATCAAAGCCTTGGTACATTCTCTCCACTGGCGGTACATCAGATATGGCTCCTCAAACTTGTACTTGAAAAACCAGTCGCGATATGGATGTGTAGAAGGGTCGTGGGACATCTTGCAACGTATAACAAAACCCTCGACATCGCGACCATCGTGTGCTCCAGTTTCCGCTACTTCTTCAAGGAAAGCCTTGACTTGGTGGATGTCGTCCATTGTGATAAGACCCGTTTTACGGAACGCCCACTCATCAGCAAACTCTTGAACGAAACGACTGGGATAGGTAGCGAACTCGGGTAAGTTGAGGTTGATACCATGGAGATATAGCCCAGCCTTATCTGGACCGTATGCTAAGATGTGCTCCTCGAATTGGTCATCGCAAAGCTCCGCGACTGCAGTCACGTTCCTCTTGCGGAGCTCTCGTGCAAGATCTGCTTTTGTCTTGCCAACGGCAGCGAGTTGTTGTTCTAGGCGCTTCTCTCCAGCGCTGGCATGACTGACTTGGATGTCATCTCGATCGCCAGTCGAGTGCTTGCTGCACACAATCAACGTGTCGTCTTCCAATCCGGCAATGAAAATGATGCAGCCATTCTCCTTGAGAGTCAACTCGTAGGGGCCTTGAGTGCGTGTGAAGATGTTCTCCCACTTGGTCTCATGAACCTCGTTAACATTGAAGAACTTGTCGTAGCCTCTCACAGCGATTTCTGGCTCGTTTCTTCGTGTCTTGGTAGTGAAGAGGCCGCGCGCATATGTGGGCAAATCGCGTCGCTTGTAATCCCAGTCCTGCAAGCGCCAGGAGTCGACTTGGATGCCATCCGCTGATCCTTTGACATCGAACGTTGTCTTTTTCACTGCGAAGCCGCCGCGTTTCTTGTCCTTTCGGGCACTATCCAAAGAACGCACCAGGTTGGCTACGGCTTGAACATCCTGGGGAGTATAAGGGGCAGACATTCTGTCGAGAGCCGTTGGAGAAGCTCGAAGATTCTGGTGATTCGTGATAACTCTGCTGAAGGGTGTGAGAAGAGAACGCAGTGAACGACAGTGAACAAGCATGAGTTTGATGGCGATGATTGGGCAAGATGATAAGCTTTCCTCACTTGGGGGGCAGGCAATCTTCTGTCGAGTGATCTGAGCCAACTTGTTCCAGCAAACTCAAAGGCTTGTTTTCCGTAGCCTTGAGCATCTGAGATCTGGAAGAACTCACTTTTTTTAATAAAAAAATCCAAGTCAAGAAAAGAGTTGCGCGCGTGATAATACTGCAGTTGCTTACAATGCCCTGTCAAGTGAACTGAACTGAGCAACAGTGTGCGTATTATTGTGCACAGTGGGTATCTGTAAGTGTTGTATCAACTGAAAACAGGTACAGATAATGCCACTGGCTGGGCCTCTTATATGTAGACCCGGGTCCGCGATGGTATTTCTGTAGACGCAGCTCAAATGAGGTTGTGGCGGTTGTGCTAAGGTCGATGCGGGCCAGGAATAGGTCGAAAACTGCCTTACGGCACCGCCTCAATAAAGAACCAACCTAGGCTCTCTTAGTGAGTCAGGCCGCTATCCCTGAGGGGCAAAGGTTACACGGAAGAGAAATCAATGTTCAATCAAGGCCCCAGACTCTTGTGTTCAAGTTCGGAAACTGGTAGACCCTTTACTGAGTCATCGCATGGATCCTTTCACCATCCGGTCAGGCAAGAAGCACTTTGGATGTGGAGGGGCAAACTACCTACCTAACCTACCTACCTTACTTACTAACTCTAGATGGGTCTTGCCCTGGAATGATGGTGTCTGGTGCGTCACGCCGGCAACAATTGAACGCCAGGTGTTGGAAAATGATTAAAAGTGACATATCGGGGCTAAATTGGTTGATAGAGCTTGTCTTTTGCCTAGGTACCTAATAGAAGGCCATGAGTTAATCTGTATAGGTAGGTAATGGAGGAAATACTGATATTTTGTCAGTCGTCATGACGGGTTGTGGGGTTCCACATGCAAGCTACCCCGCCAAAAATCTTCCTTCTGCCTACGAACAAAGTTTCAACGGTTTCAACACTGACGACGCGACAAGCTAGAAACCTATCTCAACTTTGTACATAAGGGAAACTACTAGGTACCTATTCAGATCTCATTCTTTGTCGCAAAACAGCACCGGGCATAAATTCAGAATCATGTCTACCCCAAACCCATTTCTTCTTGCAGCCGATAACAACCCCGCGTTGCTGCCCCTCCTCCGAGAGAACCCAGCACTCGCATCGTCACAGGATGAGCATGGTTATTCACTCGTCCACGCCGCTGCCAGCTACAATCATCTCGATCTCCTGCGAGCGCTAGTTCGCGAGTTCAATGTCGACGTCGACCTGAAAGATGAAGACAACGAGACTGCCTTGTTTGTTGTCGAGACCCAAGATGCTGCTCAGGTCCTCGTCGAAGAGCTCGGAGCAAACATCAACCACCGGGGATCAGAAGGTTTAACAGCTAGGGAAAAGATTGAAGCGGAAGCTGAATTTCCTGCTGTTGCGGAATACCTAGCCATGGTCCAATCCAAGAAGGCCGATGATCCTGCCTCGACAGCAGCGGCTGTCATGCCTGAAGTTATCCCTCCCCCTCCAGAGGGAATGAAGGTTACTGTTGGCACTATGGACGAGACCACAGACATTCCCGAGGAAATAGACCCAGAGTTCCGTAGAAGAATCGAGGAACTGGCTCAACGTGACGATTTCAACACCCCTCAAGGTCAAGCTGAGCTGCGGAAGTTGGTTGAGGACGCTGTCCTTGGTGAGGGTGGTGTCGGGGATGAACGCAACGTACGATCGAAGCAAGATTAAGGGATCAATCCGACGACCTTGTCTCCCACATGAGATACCTCCCGGCCGCGCTGGGTGGTCTCAGGATAGTGAGGTCATCACTGTTGCCAGATACACTTCTTGAAAAGCTCGTAGCACTGAGGGAAAACCATGTTCTCGAAGGACAAGCAACTAGCACATCCATGAGCAAGCCACGAAGCCACTGTGCTGACATGAAACCCTCCCAACTCAACTTGCAGACCTTGGATTCTTTGGGATCGTTGCCTGGTACAGAATACCTTGACAGATAGGGGTCGATGCTGTCACAGGGCTCCACACGCGAACTACCAAGGCGAATGAGCGAGAACCACTCGTAAACTTCTGTGGCGAAATATTCCAGAGACTCGCGATCATTTTCAGAGAGAATCTCTGGGTCGACATCGAGGCTCGGTTGAAGAACAGCGATATCCTGCGATATGTTGGATGTTGATGCACAGGCTGTGGGGGAGAACTTTTGCAGAGGATCGGGATTCGGGACTTGGAAAGCATTAGTATGAGATCAACATATGGGTTCAAAGAGCCTGGTTATGCTTACTTTGGCTTGTGCTATTGCAGAAGAGCCATGTCATGGGTTGAGTGAAGACAGCCTTGCAGGCATAGACCAGCCTGTCATAGCCCTTGTGCCCCCGAAGCATGGATGGATCTCTAAGGTTGTATGTTACCACTTCACGAGAATCAGCTGTTGTTTCTGGCACTTGCTATCTGGCCACTCACCCCAACGTGGTTTTGACCCTCGTCCACCCTTTGCACCATATGGTTTACCAACAAGTCCTGCACGTTCATATGTCTCCTTGTCGACGAACATGGTCAATACACCTACCAAGAGTCAGTATATAACCTCCAAGGATTTGATCCATTTGTATACCTTCGCGCAAGGTAAGTAGCATGCCAACCGTTGTCTGTCCCTCTGAGAGCATCATGATATCGCCTGAAAACAGGGTTAGCGTCAGAATCACTTAGACACAGTGCAAATTGCTTGCCCTTCTTAATATACTCGGTAAAAAAGTCGCCTTGTAGAATATCTCCAAGCGACATTACTACCTTCGAGTAGCGAGGGGCATGTCGAGCGTTGCTCAGCTGCTGACAAGCAGCATCATAGGCCTCTGAGGGTAGAATAAGATCAACCTAACCTCAGTTCAGTATTTGATTCACTCTGAGCGTCCATGCTTGTTCAAACCTTATGAATGAAATCCAAAGACATAACTGCAGTCCACGGCTTGCCCTTGCGAGGAGTCTGCTTGGTGTCAAGGTACCCCATAGTGCCGTATGAAACAAAACATTTTGGCGACTGATAAATCGACGGCGCAGCAGCTGGAAACATGGCTGAATGTCAGGAGAAGTATGGTATTATACCGTGTGTGATGTCAATTGCTGATTCTGCACGTGTGTAAGTCGCAAATGCTAACATAGGTGCTGGGTAACACAAATGGAACGTTTTGGTTAGCCGGGTTTTTCTCGGCGAATTTTTCTCTCAAGGCCATAACCTAAAGAGATCCTCTTGGTCGAGCTGCATCCTCAACTCTGCAAATCACTGAATTTCCCCAGATATTTGGACTGTGAAGTACTGAGCGCTTTGAGGGTTCATATCTGAGTAAGGCAATTTCCTGATCAATAGAGTCAGGCATTTGGTGTGACTTCCCCCACCACCCCAAGTCACAAATCCTAGGGTAAACTGAACTTCCTCTTACACAACAAGATTCACGAGAAACTGAAAATTGAGATGGATTTCCTCATCAAATTTGCTCAGGCGCATGAGACATTTCGAGTCCCTGAGATCGAGGCTTTGGCCTTGGTTGAAGGCCTTGATATGAAAATAGTCGACTATAGCCAAGAAGTCTCTTCTCCCATGGATGATATTGGTCAAACCCAGAAACTTACTGTGAATAGTCCCCATTTTGTATCGTGCACCTTGATTCGGTTGAATCGGCTAGACGTCTGGCCAAGAGATCCATTCTAATTCAATCTGTCCATGAGCTCTGGGGCAAAGGACGCACACTGGATGAACTTCATGAATCAGTCAAGACAAACACATCTCATGTCTGGGATGGTTATCTTGGAAAATCATTCAAGTTCGATGTTGACCCATACCAAGGAACTCGTTCAGCCAAAAAGAGGATCGAACTTATCAACTCTTTCCGATTTCTGGGCTGGACTGGGCCTGTGAAAATGACCAACCCTGACAACTTATTCACCATCTTCGAAATGTGGCCCTATAACAGCGTTCCCTTGAATATTTTGGACCCCACAATGATGTATCTCGCACGACATGTAGGGAACTCATCGCGAGAACTCTTGGTCAAGTTCGACCTCAAGAAGCGAGGATATATCTCAACGACGAGCATGGACTCTGAGCTCGCTCTCGTCACTGCCAACCTTGCACTCGCTGCCCCCGGCAAGCTATACTACGATCCGTTCGTTGGAACTGGTTCCTTTCCCATCGCCTGTGCCCATTTCGGTGCCCTTGCATTCGGAAGCGATATAGATGGTCGAAGTATCCGCGGCGAGGGTGGCAACAAGAGTTTGAAAGGCAACTTTGACCAGTATGGCATTGGGTCTTGCTTAGGAGACGTATTCTCGGCCGATTTGACCAACACCCCAATCAGGAGGCATCTTCGCACATGGGATGGAATTGTTTGTGATCCTCCATATGGAGTGAGAGAGGGACTGAGGGTTCTTGGTCTCCGTGACCCTGAGAAGACCCCCTGGTTGATAGAGCAGGGGAAGCAACATGGAATGCACGTAATGTCCTGGCCGTTTGATTTGCGCATTCGCTGATTACCGCAGGAAACCAACTTATGTGCCACCTAAGAAGCCTTATAGCTTTCTGGTGATGCTCGATGATATCTTGAGTTTTGCAGCCGAGACTCTGGTGGATGAAGGGCGATTGTCATTCTGGATGCCAACAGCTAACGACGAAGACCAAGAGATTCCCGTACCCAGCCATCCTTACATGGAAGTTGTGTCTGTCTGCACCCAGCCGTTCAACAAGTGTGAGTTGCCGCTGGAGCCTTGTTGCTGATCCTGCACCTACTGACATTTCGCAGGGTCCAGGAGACTCATCACCTACCGTCGGCTCCCCGACTCGCAGGTCTCGCAAGAAGCCCTCGGGGCTTACACAAATAGACAGAAGCTCACATTGAACGGAACATCGGCAGACGAACTCAACCCGTTTCGACGTGGATATTTCAATAAGTTCGAGGCCGAAGAATAAAACCTCGCTTACAGGAATGACTTCGCTTTGCTCCCATCAAAGACTTCCTATGCTCCGCATTCATATGTGATAACTGCCCATAAAACCCAAATCCTGATTACCCACAAAAGCAACATGCGTAGGCACGTCAAGACGTCATGATAGCGGGCCCTAACCCATCCCGTATTCCCATCTATAAATATGTTGTTATAACACTGCTGGATATCCCAAACCGGTCCTGCAACGAAACCTAGTCGATGACTGGCGATGTGCTCGTAGCGGCGCCGCGCTCCAAGCTTGTAGTGTGCTTTGCACTGATGGAGCCGTAAATTTAACGAAATTCGGTAGCGGCAAAGCATCCCCGGTCGGGGACATGCTTCAGCTCCAGTTGCTGGAACCTGTTGCCAATTAGTATGCAGGAAATGATGCGTGATTGATATTGGTACGGGGAACAAACTTTTCGCTTTTAGAGTGGAAGTAGATACCGCTTACTTCACCCTTGACCTGGTTGAAGCAAATGTAGTAAAACCCTTCGAAGCTGGCACCCGTTATTGTGCGAACTCGATGATCTGGAACTAAAAAGTGCTCTTTCCAGCGCATAAAGATGGTTTCTCGTTGGGCAGCATCTCGAATGGTGACAGGCCCCTTGCGAGCCTGTTTTTGGAAAGGACGAAAAGCTGTAAACTTGGCCCAATGACTCAAGTCAACCTTGCTATTTGCACCCCAGTTCTCGTGTTGTGTGTAGAAACTGTACTTGGAGCCGATGATTTCGCCCTCGAAATATGTCGTGAGGGTGGGATGGTCTTCGGTTAGACCTTGAAAATAGAGTTAGTGTTATTGTCGATCTTGATTGCACTCTGACCACCAACCTTGGATACGCAGATAGCCACAGAGAAAAGACTCTCGCATGTCAACATGCTTAATTTCGACCTGCACATCGTAGACCTGCCTCTCTGACTGTTGCGTGCCATGAAATTTGCTGCCCGGACGTAGGTAAGATGAAGGAGCCGAAGGGATAGTCTTTTGATTGTCAGGTCATTGCATATGCAGTGCGATCGACGTTTTAACTCACCCTCATACATGAAAAGTCAGAGCCCATGGACGGAGACCAAAGCTCATCTTCTTGCGCATCGACATCAACCCAATCTGACTCTCCATTCGGCGACCCTCTCCGCCTGGATGATTCTCGAGCGATTGATTCGGTTTCAGATGCTCGCTGCGTGCTATTTGAAGGCTCTCGGCTCAACTGACTGCCGATTTCGGCCTCTCTTCCCTTTATTTCAGACGCTGGGCCGCTAGGCATTGGAGTCGTGGCAGCCGTAGTAGCAGTTTGAGGACGAGGAGACATGGTGGAAGACCTTGAGGACGATTCGTCAGATGGACGCCCATCATACATGATGGCATCGTCGCTCGGGCCTTCGGGCGCAGCCGGCGCGTCGACGGCAAGGGGCGAGCCGACATCAACAGAAAGATTGGAGTCGGGCAGATCAGTATCATGGACTTGATTATCGTCGCGTGACTGCCAGATAGGACGTGGCTGATGTTGAACATCGTCAGGACATGTCGAGAAACTGTAGGACCGAGGCGAAGCGGCTTCGACCGGCGGATTTGATGATGGTGTTGGCATTGTTGTGACGTGTGATGGGAGATGATGCAATTAGACGGCGAAAATGTCGATGCGCGATATACAGAAGTTCATAAACAAGACAAGAAGAGTCGTGGGTATCACATCGACCAGTAAATCATGTATGTATGTTGCGAGGATTTGACTGACGTCGAGCGCTGTTGGAGG